ACAGGGCGCCGCCGGTGGCGGTGGCGGCGGCGGTGGTGGCGGCGGTGCGGGTGCTGGTGGCGGCGCCGCCGCCGGCGTACCCGGCACACCTTCCGCACCGCCGCCCGGCGTACAGTGGTGGTATTCAGGCGGAGTCATGGACGCTGCCGCACAGAACAACCTGCACCAGCAGTTGCAGGGCCAGCAGCAACAACAGCAGCCGCAGCAGCAACATCTCTCGCCCATTACCACGCAAACGTCCACGCCCCCCGTTATGTCCCCGGTATGTTGCGAAGTACGGGTAACCGTACCCTCGAGAAGAAAGAAAAAGTTACATCTCCCTTTTCGCGCGCGCGACGGTTTCTTTTCCCGCGTTCTTGGCAAGCGGCGCCAAAGTCTCCCCCCCCTTTTTTTTATCTTTGCGCTTCCTTTAGGCATTTCACAAATGCTTTTGCGTTACCGGATATCCGTTTTGATTACGAAGATCTAGATATCAAAGTGACAAGTAGATAAGCAATGAAAAGAATGAACTCAGTAATTGTCAGTCAATGCTCGAATCGCCATTGTTAAAAATTGGGAAACAATTAAAGATTGTTGCGTATATATAAATTCGTATAAGAAAAAGATCATTCCTCTGTCGCGCGCAAATTAAATCTTCATTCGATCTAAAAAACGGCGGTCCGATAATGGATTGGCGTTTATGCGACGCCTTTGTACCACGTTGTAGATACGTAGGCCGAAACGCGACGACCTCGCTCTTCACCCCTCTGTCCCCCTCGTGCCCCCTGCTCGCCGGTCTTTCGGCCACTTTCGCGCGCTCGGCGAGCGAACGGACGAGCGAGCGGGTGGCTGTAATACGAAGACAGAGAGATATAGCCGGTTCGACAAGGTGGCCATGCGGCCAGTTTTGACAACTTTTCCGAACGCCTACAGTGAAATACGCGGTAGAGTCCGTTCATTTTAACGATCTTACTCTTTATGCTTCAGATGCCTTTACTGATGCCCGTTTCTACCCATGTAGTTTAATTTTAAAGATTTTAATATCGATCCAATAACTCTTCATTTTTTCTAGTTCTGGAAATTAGAAAAAGATGAAAAGTAAGTCGAAGTTAAAGTTAATTTACACTGGTAAAAATGGACATGAGTTCGTTAAATATCCCCAATATATATTAATATTAATTTTAAAATCATAAGATAATTTTTGTCTGGAGTAACGCGCGCGCGCGCTCGCGATTTATAAGGCGCAAGAAATATACCAAGAAAATTCCCAAATATGATTTCGCATTCGCTGCATGCAAGTTGGTTTTTTTCATACGATGTATAATTTTTAATGGAAAATTTCTTTCTCTGTCTCTCTTCCTGCTTGTTTTTTTTGCCAATGACGGAGAGCTTTGTCTGATTTTGTCCGTCGTCCCTTCTATCTCGTTATAGCGTTCGATCGGTTGTTGTCGGATTTTCACAATTACTGGAAAATACAGTTCGAACACGCAAATTTTTATTTGAACATCAACGAATCTTGGCGAGGTGATTAATCCTTAATTAGCGAAGTGTCATCGACGATTCCAACGAAATACATTCGCTTCATTCGTGGTCAAGATCAATTCTCTATATATATTATCCGTATTTCTTTTGATATTAGGTGAATTTATACCCTATTTATTTAAATTAAAAAATACCGAGTCGTGATAGGTTTTATCTGGGATGAACTCGCCTTGCTGCTTGCTTGCATCTCGAAGATATGTTAAGGAATTAAGATCGTCAGCGGCGATAGGGCCCAGGTATCGAGAGAAAAGTTAGGTATATCCCTTCGGTTGTACTGGGGGTAGGCTTTGATAGGCAACGACGAGGCGATCCGGGAACGTGATTGCGATAATTGCGATAAAAGGTATATGCATGGTATTCGTATTCTTCGTTTTCTTCGGTGTCGTCTCATATGCGTATAAAGGCAAGGAAACACAGTGTATTCCTGTGGAAATTTCGCTTATCATCTCTTGTGTTAGCGATTTTGCAGTAAAAAGAAGGAAATGTTATTGGAGAGAGGTATATAATTTGTTTCGGTGCGGTATTGATCGATTTTCACCGATCGCCAACAACGATAATCTCGGTAACTGAATTTTTTATCTGTGTAGAAGAGGGAAAGGAATTTAGAAATACGTAGAAAACAAACGTGATTTTTTTTGTGACGCAACTTCGTGTAATGACGAGTTAAATAGAACAAATTCGTACGATTTATCTTGTATACGGGGTATTTCAATTAATCGCATTCCTTTAATCCTGTAGATTCTTTAGGCAATTTCGAGCTGATTTTTCTCCGATATATAAATTCAGTAACCTTTTCTATGAAGAAAATTCCAAAGACTTTAATAAAGCTTCCTAAAGTATTCGCTCGTTTTAACATTTTCGGAAAAGGCAAACGACCGACTAATCGGTCGGCTCTTTTACCTGCTTCGGCTCGACAAGATTCGCGATTTCATGCGGATCTGGATGGAAGCGATGGAGAGACGGAACCCCTGAGATCCTCTTTCGGTTATCTCGTGCGAATCAAAAAGGATTTCGTCTCGTGTAAAGCTATTCTGCGGGATATTGAATACGAGAAAAAAATAACATTGTTATACATATTATGTCTCTGTTTTCTGTAACTAAACTAGTATACTTTCGGAACTCAAAGTGAAATAGATATACGTTTGATATTTGGCGATAGGGAGAAAGCAAGTTCCAGTACAGAAATAAAAAAACAGATCTGATGTGAGAGAAAGAAAGAGATAGATTCGGGTGATTCTTCGTCTCATAATTCAAGTAGGCATATATAGAGTTGAGAAGCAATTTCGATTGTCATCGTATCCCAATGTCTGGTTGATTGGGCATGGATTTTCGCGCGTTTCGTCGTTCTCGCGTCCTGTCCCGACTCGCGCGCGCGGTTCTCATCCCGTCGCGTCCGTCCGTCCATCCGTACGTACGTACATCCGCCGTCCGCTATTGATTCCGGGTTTCGTGCGGCCTTCTTCATAAGTGCGTTCGCGTTCAGCAAGTCCGGCCGCGCTTGTCGGTTGATATTATCGCGTTCTCTCTCGTTGCTCGTTTCGCGATTTCACATTAGCACTAAGTGTCAAGAGATCTGTTCTTTTTAATTGTCCCCTTCTCCCCCCTTTTTGCTCTCCAAGCACACATTTGGTCGTCGTGTGTGGCGAGAAAAGAGGGGAGAGGAAGGTCAAAGAAGAACGCAGATACTGTAACTGAATGGAACAGATCGAAAAATTTGTCAAATACCAAGGGAACAAAAATACTCCCTAATTGACCTCACAGACGCTCCATGCTCTCCTTCGTTTTAGGTTGTTTATTTAGTTTACATTGATCGAGACTGCTCAGATTTGAAATTTAGATTTTGAGAATATTGGAAAGATTTATATGCATATATTTACATGAGAAAGTACACGGAAGGAATGATTTTGCTGAAACATTAAACATTTAGCTATGATATGTGAATTTCAAAAACTTTCTTATTTTTTAATTGAAAAATAAAGTTTTTGTGATTTTCATATCGATCAAATTATGGTTTTATTCATTTAAAATACTTTTTTCAGATCTACATACATCTGAACATAATTATGTAGAAAACTCAAGCATGACGAGCAATGCTGCAAAAAATTTAGTATTCTAGTCAGCTTGAACATCCTATATAATTATTATGACAAAATTATTTTCAGATTTGTAGCTAGTTAAATTTTTAGATACTTTAGCAAAACCGTTCTTTTTGTCCAGTGAGTGTTGGAAACAGATTTTTTTTGTAATATAAGAAAAACCATAGCTTTGCCATTTTTAAATGATAAATAGTGTTTAATTAAAAACGGTTTTTTTCTTTTCATAAAATTTCCATTTATATTATGTTAGCTTTTTAATCGATTACGTCGTCACGAAGTACAGTTACTTGAAATCGTCTTTTCTCTTCACGGAAAAAAACATCAGATCCTTTTCTTGTGAATTTGATAGGAATCCGAGATTGCCATCTTCTTCTGGCGATTTCTCGATCTTGATCATTGATATTAACAGTGATATTGAAGTCACGTGTAATTTTTTTCTCATCGTCAATGGATAATCGGAGCTTGTAATAGTGCAACGAAAGCGGAATCTTGTTCCGGAATATGTTAGACTACACATATGAAAGTTCACGTATGAAAGTTTGTGATGATGAATGATCGGACCGATTACGCACTTTCGAAATATAATAATGCTCGAAAGGAGCAACGTAATTTACACGTTTTCACGATATCTCAGTCTGAAACTTTAAACATTTTTCGTTAAAAGTTCCATGAAGTACTAAAATTTAGCCATTTGAAGTAGAAGATAATAGACATGTGTAGGTAGAGTCGGATTTCGATTTTCCGATCGAAAAGTTACGTCACTTCAATGAATGAAACAACTTGTTCCGAATCTACAGAGTTAAGGGGATGCTGGAGACCAAATTATCACATTGCAGTCGTATAAAAATCTTTGAATTGACTGAACGGAATAAAAAATCCTTTTACAGGATTAAAGTAGACGCAAAATTAGAAGGTGGTGCAGTGGATCTTGTATTAAAATCGAAAAAAAGTTAAAAAAATGGTTAATATTTCGATTTTAGTATAAAATCCACTGCACCACCTCCTAATTTTGCGTCTACTTTAATCCTGTAAAAGGATTTTTTATTCCGTTCAGTCAATTCGAAGATTTTTATACGACTGTAATGTGATAATTTGGTCATATAAAATCACCAAAATATTTATATTATTTAGAGAAATGAAAAATAGATCATTTTTTACATTAACATATTGAATGATTTTTTTTTTTTTAAGAAAAATAAACTTCGACTTCATGTAACATGCAGACAAACGAGGAATGTGTTTCACTTCTTTCTCATTCGCTCGGCCCGGTTTCTCATGCGCGTATATGCTTTTTTTTTAATTAAAACGATTTCTAAACTTTATACCCGCCCACAATTGTGCAGTACCGAGTCGTTACCAAAACTTACGTATCATCGGCATAATTTACGCTTTAATTAACAGACACGCAGTAATAATCCCCGAATATACTTAGAGTTTAGCGTACCTACGTTTGTTAGGAATTCTGTAGTAAAAAGATTAATGGCTTGTGTGTGTGTGTCTATTTGAGAGAGCTGTAGTCGAGAGTCACTCTCAAGAGTCATACAAATGGACACTGTACTGAAAAGTATACCGCAGAGTTACTTTCTTACTTACACTTTTACTCTCTTTACATCCGAGAGTCACTCACGGGTAGATCTCAAGATAATACTTTGTAAGTATATGATTCTCAACACTTAACATTTGTCTCAAATGGACACAGCAACAATTTTCGATGAGTTTGAGAGAATGGTAGAACAAACACTAAGTGTTTGATTCTGATTATCGAAACCAGATTGTTAAATTACTTTAATTTCTTCATAATTCCTTAACTATTTATAAAGAAAAGTTAATATAAAGGAACAAATTTATAATATGAAGTAAATCAGTAAATATTTCTCTGAAGTTAGGAAATACTATAAAAAATGTGCAGAACACTTTCGATTGTTCTATTTAAAAATCTAAAATATTTTTGTCAATATATAAACTCGTTAAATTTTCAATTGAAAGAATTGAAAAAATTCATTACGTAGCATTTTTCAATTTCTTGCTAATATTTTGACAGATTAATGAAAAATCGTGCGCAGTGCGTTCACATCAATGATAGAGTTTGGGTATGAAAGAACACCTGCTGAACAAGCTTAAAGCTTTTTCTTTTGTCTTTTTTTTGTTGTTCGTAGAATGTGCCTCGTCGCAAACATCTGACTTCCGTTTCCGTGCCCGACATTAATTTTATTTCCACCGCGCGCATTGCGAGACCATAGGAAACCATATGCCGTAATGTAACGCCTGCGGCCCAAGGGGCATAAATTCTTAATCCCTTGTATATCGCGGCGAGTGCGAGAAGGAAAGCGAGAAGAAAAAAATAACGCGAAATCATTCCGTTTGCGGGATATACCTTGAAAGTCGTTTTTACTCTTTCGTTACTCAGACATTCATTTTTACTCTTTCGTTCTCAGACATTTCGATGCGTAGGTAAATTAGTTCTTAAGAACGCTTGCCATCAAAATTGAATATTAATTAATTAATTAACAAAAATCAGACGTAATTAATTAATTAAGTCAGGTATATATTTTATGTAATGCGATATATATTGAACCGTCCCATAAATAATGCGAGTTTCCGAATCGCGGAAGCAGATCCGCAAAAGTGGCGGTCGTTTATGTTTTATGTTATCGTCAAAGAGAGAAAAAGGAATCCGCATTACTTATGGAATGACTCAATGACAATGTCGATTCTACATAGTAGTTATTTTGCCGGCAGATCTCACATCCGCACGTAGGTCAACTAGATTTCCGATTATTTCTGCAGGTACGTGGTAACTATTATTATCCGCAATCCGGAGTAATAATGGTCGGTATATTGTACGTATAGTACGAGTATAATTGTGCTATATCACGTCTTACACATTTCAAAGAGCCCGGAGCAAGAGCATAGCCCGATCGGGTATGTGACGTGTATAGCATGAATGTATACAAACTGGTACGCACGTGCTTTAAGTCGTGTCTAAAAAAAAATAGACATTTTTTTGTTCACCTACACCTAGATGCTTTTTGTCTGCTTTCAATTCTGAGATTATCAATGAACAACGTTTAAGAGTATTCAATTTTCATTTATTTTTCATCCATAATGAAGACGCGTGATGGGCATACATATGTATGTGTGTTTTCGTATTTATTTATTATTTATCGTATTTATTTATCTGTATAATTATTTTATTTAAATCTACGTAAAGTTATAAAGTTTAACAGTGACTCTCCGCAATGATGAGACTTGCAGCACTACGGTTGGAGCGGTAACAAGCATGTAACAATGTTGATATAATTATAATAATATAATGCCAATCTATATTATTATTATACGACATTATGTGTAATAACAACATAATAATTATATACATAATGATAATATACTGTATAATATTACACGTACGTACAATGTAATGACCATTGTTACTTGACAAAATCAAAAACGCGCGTTTGTACGGCGAGCATTGTTACGTGTGTCTCATTGTCAATGTGAGATCGCGGGCCACAGCCGTTCATTAATTTAACACGCAAGTCGTATTACGTAAAGTGCGTAACGACACGTCTCAGTTATATTATCGCGGATATCTTGCTAAATTCGCTCGCAGCAATGTCCTAAGTGACCAATCTTTCGCATCACAGTAAAAAAAATCTTTATTTTTTTTTTGCTCCTCGTGAGCTAATAACACGCGAGGAAGTCTCTTCTCTTACTTATGCAAATTTCTCATAATACGACGATACAGCGCATATTACTTCGCGTATTAACAAATATATATACACAAATTTTTCTCGATTTAAAAATAGGAAGTCTCTATTTTACGATTGAAATGTTCCTTCTAATAAAGAGTAAATATAGATAAATAATTATGACACGTAAAAATAGATAATTTCTATTTTTAAATTTAAATTTCTTCCGATGCGAAAGTGGAAGGTTCTATTTTAGCATTTAAGAGCTTCTTTCAATGTATTAAATGGAAGATTTCTATTTTGAGAATTTAAAGCCTTTTTTTGTTTTCATGTCGAAATATAGAGAATCATTTTCGTTTCAGAAATCTTCTTTGATATAAGAGTAGAAATTGTCGAGACTTGCTGTTTTAAAGGCGTTAACAGGTTTTTTGCTGTTTGCCGCGGCAGCGTTTTGCATTGTAGATCATTTGCTTGGATTTCAGCACCCAATACAGCAGATACCGCAAAATAATCTTCAACAAAATAACGCTCAGAGTCTGCAGCGGGACAATATGCCGAGAGGAAAAGATTCGAAGCCAAGAGGACGGATGACAGCGTACGCGTTCTTCGTCCAGACATGTCGCCAGGAGCATAAAAAGAAGCATCCCGAGGAAAAGATCGTCTTTCGAGAATTCTCCAAAAAGTGTGCAATGAGGTGGAAGGTGAGACTCTCAGAATTATTCGCTATAGTCCATTATGCAAATCACATTTTTATAGATATAATGTTATAAATATGTTTTATAGATATAAGTAATTTTGATATTAATATCTTATTCTATATAATGCAAATAAATTCGAAATAGATTAATAGAAGATCCCTTTGCTAATGCTAGGATCAAGAGAAATGTAAGAACTAACTTAGAAATGATATTTGGATTTCCCCGTATGTTGTGGTTTCACAGCCCGAGGTGCGAGCGAGAGAGTGGGATACATAATGTTCTTCTGTCTAAAGCCCTGCGGATTCGCGAGAGCTACTTTGATCTTGGCCTCTATATAGATATGTAGCGCTCGGTAAACGCCACGCGCAAGTATGGTATTTAAGCGGGTCGTTACGAGCCGACACGTCTCGCCTTGTTAAACCGTCAATCTTCATGTTGTTTAGCGGAATCAAGATTATTGATTAAAAAAATTCAACCGATACATGCAAAAATCTTTCACAGCGTGACGTTGTCATTAAAGAACGAATCTTTTAAAGTATTCATTATCCAGCCTGCACGCGACTATACATGACAGAATATGCTGGACCGATCGGGGAACACTTATTTCTTCAGTAATTGAACATTTATCGCACGTGGCTCGATCTGTGAGACTAACTGTATAAAAACGCTAACGCTACATTGGCGGAATACCGCATGTGTCGTAGACTATGTCGGACATCGAGAAGAAACGTTTCCATGAAATGGCAGAGAAAGATAAGAAGAGATACGACACGGAGATGCAGAACTATACGCCACCTAAGGGAGAAAATAAGGGCAGGGGCAAGAAACGTAAACACATCAAGGATCACAATGCTCCCAAGAGATCGCTGTAAGCCTTCATGTTTTTACATAATGTATTTCGACTTCGAAGAAAAAAATTCGTTGATTAATATTTAAATACAACGAAAAAAAAACTTTAAAATTTATATGGAAACACAAAAATTTAGCTTTTTTAAGCTTTTACTCGCATTTTAGAGAAATTATGATCCGTTTCCTGCAACTTTTAATTTTTTTTTTTTTTTTCTTTAAGTAAAGTTACAATTATTTTTCTGAAAATTAAATTTACAGCAATTTGTCAAAACTAAATTCAAATTTAGATTATTTCCGAATTATATATTATGATTTTTTTCAGTTTCTACAAAAAGGCTAGCTTAATATATTATCGTATTATACGATACCCTTTCAATAGCAGCAGATATATTTCATGATTAATTTCATCAGGTCTGCTTTCTTCTGGTTCTGCAATGACGAACGTGGTAAGGTCAAAATGCTGAATCCTGAATACGGTGTAGGTGATATAGCTAAGGAATTAGGCAAGAAATGGTCGGACGCAGATCCCGAAACCAAATCCAAATACGAGGCTATGGCAGAAAAGGATAAGGCTCGATATGAAAGGGTAATTTATCGAAATTTTTATCAACCTTACGTTTTTAACCACTAAGACCCCTAGCCCTGTGCTGCAACCATGTAACATCAGAAGCTAAAAGTCACAGATTTTCCTACATACGTTTATATGTCGGAATATATTGATTTTTTGCACAATTCGAATCGATTTGATTAAATGGATTTATGAGATAATCCAAGTATTTTTGAAATAAAGACGAGACATTTTCCTCTCGCAGGAAATGACCGCGTACAAAAAGAAAATGCAAAATGACGGAGCCCCGATGGTAGGAGGTGCACAAGCGAACCAAACTACAATAAAAAGTGACAGCGAAGAAGAATGGAAGGAAGACGACGAATAGCGGATGCACGTCGAAATTTCTTCATCTATCACCCCGTGTCCTTCATCCTGAAAGCATACCTCACCTACTGTACGTACCATTGACCTTAGCGTGAGCGTACTTACACCACCATCACTAGGAGAACAAAGCAACTAACCACCAAGCAACCTACCAATCAACCAAGCTCTTCAACAATCCCCACCAACCTCCTAATTCTTTCCCCGATTATTTACGATAATGATAAAGTAATCCGCGCTAATTATGGTAATTATTTTAAAAGGAAAAACTGGTATGCATGAGTGGTGCGCGAGCATGAGCGAGCGAGGATCATTGTGTGAGTGAACATTTGTACTTTAACATATTGATAGTAACGATGATGTAAAGCGGCTAGTAGGATAGCAGAAGATAATGAAAGAAAAAAGAAATCAGAACCATGAATTAAAAGCAAAAACGGAAGAAATAGGACAAGGCCCATACTTTCTCTATCCGGATGGAAGGCGCAGGGGCTCAATCATTGTTGACTTTTTGCTCCGTCGACGCTATAATTATGAGCTACGTAGCTTAGTTTACTAATGACGAAACGCGATAATGACGGCCCCGTTAGCACGAGGATCGGAGATGTAATTCTTTTTACGTGTTCTTTTGGATTTTTTTCCGATATGCAAAATCATGCTTTTTCGATTGTCTTTTTCACGCATTGCCATTGACACGGGAGAGATCACTGTTTTAGATCTTCGTTCTTGAGAGGGGCAAGTCTTATTGTGCGTCGTTGCAAAATTAATATACTATACTTTTGGGGATCTTCCTTTTAGTTCAGTTCAATTCCAGTTCAGTTCAATTCTGTTCACTTGTTGCCAGCGTCGTTATGGCATGAACACGTATACACACACACACACACAACACACAACATACACAGACACACGTGCAGACAATTGTTGTATATCCTTGTACAGAGAGCTTCATTTTTTTCTTTCGTATATTTTTAGCAAATCGATCATGTTGAGCGCGCGTGATGGGGCATGGGGCCGCTTTACGCATATTTGCGAATATATAATTGATTTTATCGAGATACACAGATGTCTCTTGTAGTAGCTGTAAGTACGTTTAGAATTAAGTATACGTGTATCTTAACGCAGACTTGAATTCTCCGGCGACTCTCTACGTCTTTTTTAGCGTACGATGTACTTTTTTCGATATTACACGGCGGTGTTACAAGCCACGAGCCACCATGTGATTGAGCCTTAATTACGTAGCCAATAAACGATGTGACGAATCGAATCGGGAGAAACTGTGTGCGAGAGAGAAAGAGAGTGCATGTGTATGTAGCTCGCAGCTTCTCTATTAGATCGTTGCATATGAGATGTCACCTTTTGAAAAAGTGAACCTCTTTTTAATTATTAGAATCATGTATGTTTACAATTCTTATACACGAGCATAATACAGTACGATCGTGATTATTGCTTTTTCGAACTGTAGAAATGTATGAAAAAATTGAGAAATTTATCATATTTTTCTATTTTTTAAAGATATTTCAATCGGACATTAATAATATTGGTATCGTTAATGTGTTACTATTATCATTACCTTTAATTCTATCTATTTTATTATAATTATATGATTTCTATATTGGGTTGATAAATTAAGAATTAATTGTAAGAATAATTTAGAAGTGGTTTATTGTAGACTACATACTTAGAACAAATCGTGTGAAAAAAATGATCAAGTGTATACAAAATTTAACGTCCGGAATATAAAAACTGGAAATATATATATATTTTTTATATCTTTTTATCTTTAAGTTTCCTGTATTTTCGATTACGATTTTGTGAACGTTTTCATTGATCTTTTTAAATAATTATTAAGGAATGTTGAATTGAGTTTTCTCAATTATCCTACAATTTATATGCATCTTATGCTTTTTCAGAAATTAAAAATGTGTTGATGTACATATAAAATCGACATTTCATGTGCAGGGACCTAATATTAAATCAAAATTAGTAGCATGATATTCTTGTGGAGCAGCGGTATCGCCGCGCCAACTTCTAATGCTTGTTTATAAAAAACGACGACTATTGTATTCACGAAAACGAAATTCCATTTTTTATCGTAGACATTTCGCGCTGTTTCGAGGCTGCCGGCGGCCTGCAGCCAATAAAATTTTCTCTCTTGTCCGACAAATTCGACCGCAACTCCACGTCCGTTCTAACGTTTATTTATTAACTTTAAATTTTACTTTGATAATACCAGCAGAACCATGTTTATTTCCTTGGTTTTTCTTTAAGGCTACAGTCGCAGGAGCGTTAAGATAAAGTAACGGATAATACGACGAATAAATAATGTTCGTCCTAGTATAATGAAATTGACGCGCGACTCTCGTGCGATCGTAGTCTTAATGTACCGTGAAAGATGTTTTGTACTCTTTCTTCTCCGTTTGACCTTTTCTCTCTCTTTCTCTCTCTGTTTTTTTTTTCTTAGCCCGACACTGAAGTGGTCCCTGCCCCTTGCCATCGCCATTCTCCCTCTCACATTCGTTTTTAACTCACTTGAAAAAAATAAAAAGTAGTAAAAGGGTAATACGTTCAAATCTCTCGTCTCGAGACTCACGTGAATGATATAATAACCGCCGTTTCCTTCGTTAAATCATATTCCGGGAGTGATCGGATTAATAGGAGATAAGCTCCCCGCGAAGAAAAGGCGTTTTCTCTGTCTTGTACTGCCTCGAGTCATCTGGTGTACAGCAGGCTGTATTATAATAAATTATTGTGGTTTCTTGTAATATTAACATTCCTAGATCCTATAGCGTGTACAGTGATTCTAATCGTATTCGGAATTACGAGAGGGGACTGAGAGAGGAGTCGAGTAACCGATAATAAGTGAAAAGAACGATGAAAAGAAAAACAGAAATAGGATCTCACTAGTTTCTTCTTCTCTTCGTCGTTGAATGATGCGAGATGAATATGCATGTAAACATATGTAAAAATATATATGTTTATATGTACATTTACACTCGTGTGTATCTATATGAATTTTTAGAGGCTTTCTTATTATTGGGATTTGACACACTTACACCCTGGATATACATATATTTGGCAGCGGATCGGAAAATTTGTCGTCACTTTTCTCAAGGACGTTTAAAATCTCTCTTCGTCTCTCCCCGCCTCCCGTTCCCTTTCCCTCCCCTCCCAGGAGCACATTGTCTCGATGTAAAATGAAAAAAAGGACAGTAAAACATACGGATTTTAACAATTGATGAGCAGAACGTGCGAAAAAAAGGAACCTGTTTTTTAGAGGGAGTTAGAGGACGCGGATAACAAACGACTGTAAAATATCAAATTGTAATATTTTAATACTGATTTGCAGATGTGCATAATTTTAACGTATAGCTGGTTATAAAAGAGAACGGAAAGAAGTGAGCGGATTGTAACTGATACTGAAATTGTGTGAGACGCGGTATCCGTTCGATGGAGAGAACGGTCGGACGAATAAAGGGGGGGAAAAAAGGAAAAAAAGAAGAAAAAAGATGGAAGAAGCGGAAATATTTCGAAAAAGGATCATGACATGAATTTCCTGTGTTATACTGCTAGGGGAATTATGATAGTTACACGAGAAGAAATGTTTGTTTTGTATATCTCTTAGGGATAAATAAACTTTTCAAAAAATACGTCTCTCTCTCTCTCTCTCTCTCTCGATGATGGCTCTTCTCCCTTCTGGCGACTTGACGACTCCATTTTCCAAAGCTGCGCAATCGAACGAATTCAATTAAGGAAATACATATATTTTCGTTATTCGATTTTATATTTTGCCGAAATTGAAAGTACATGAGAAATTACAAATTTTCGACGTGCCGAGGATTCAAGAACCAGAGAAAAAAATTTCTCGTATATTTGTATCCAGAGATAATTAAAAATAAATTAATTTCTTGCGATATGTAAATCGGCTTAAATTGAAATTGGACGAATTTGATAAATTTTTGTACCTTCTCTCTGAATATTTAAGCGGATTCCACATAAATAATCATAATATAAATTTTATAATTTTAATATAAATGGAATCAGATCTGCAATATTTGTTTTGCATTTACCGTAAAAAAAAACGATAACAGCGGATTTTTTTATTATGAAAAAATTTTTCAAAAAGTTGATGGGCAGATTTGTAAAAGATGTTGATACGTGCAGAATTTTACACGATGTACCAATATTATTTGGATTATTTAATTAGCCCAATTTACAAAAATAATGCGTTATAGCGATGCGCGATATTAATTACGACTTGGTAATTTTTATTTATAGCTTCATATATTTGGCAAAATACTTTTTTTCTTCGAGGCATCATTATACTTTCATATACACAGCAAAATATTATATATAAGAATAAAAAAAATAGCCGTGTTTTACAATTTTCTGTATAATGAAATAAAAGTATATAGGCAAACGATTTCTTGACGTCCACACGAGATGTAAAAAATATTTCATGCGATAAAAGCGAAATGTAGATACATTGCAATTTTACGAGTGATTTTGTAATGAAGGTTATATATGTAGATGTATATTGTATGTACATGTATTGTACATATATATGTGTGCTAAAAGGAAAATGCAGTCAATAAATGCAACAATCCAGTTTCTTGCACTCTCTAGCATTTTTCGCAATTAAAACGAAATGAATATATAAATCCAGGTGCCGGAGAAAAGAAGAGCAAAAGATTCGAGTGTAGAAAATGCAGCGAACGGCCCGCCGTGTAGATGCGCCTTTAAGGTATATTAGGTTTGTTCGCGTTGCTTGAAATTCCAAAAATGTTTGCATTTGAAACGAGATAAATAATATATCTAGGCATTGAAAAGAAAGAAAGTGAATAATGCTTAGTGCAAAAGATGCAAATAACGTAAACAGGCCTATTTTCGCGCCGCTCAAACCGTTAAATCATTCGGCGATAAAAAGAATTAAGGTACCTTTTCATGCTGACGCTCGACGCTCATTTTCGGCGTCAAAATAAGTCACGTGATAGAAATTGACGAATATCAAGCACCATTTTGATCAAATGACCTATTTAGACGCTGAAAATGAGCGTCAGCATGAAAAGGCACCTTTACGTGATCAAAATTGACGCTTATTCGTTAATTTTGATGACGTGTCCTTTTTGTCGCTGAAACGGCCGATTTGAATGGCTCATGAAAATGCACTTTTAGCAAACGCGTTTCGCGCCACCTAGCGGCTCGACATCGAGCTATCGTCGCATCGAACGGATCACCGGGAGTTCGTTTCGCCGTTCTAGATTAATCTAGATACACATCACCTTTTGTTTGCGTGCTTTTTTGACAGTTACAAGGGGCATGCACATTTGAAAATCCGACGTGACGAACTTAATGGCCGCGTGAAGGAGTCGTGAAAACGTTCGTCCGGCTTGCGCTCAGTGTTGCGCGTCTCGTTTCGACCCACGTTCGTCAGGACGTCGCGCGTTTTCGGCCGCTCGTTTTGGTCTTCTATTCGTCGACTTCGATGCTGTTACTCTACTACTAGGTAAGCACGACGAGGGACCGTCCGTCGGATCGCGGTGTCGAAACTCGTCGCCGAGGCTCGAATTCCTTTTTCGGCCGTTTCGCCAGTAATGATACTCGCCGACCGACGAGTATCCTGAAGTATCTTTTAACCGTCTGGCTCATTTAAAATATCCTTTTCGTCAAAGTAACATGAAATTAATATACAGAATCTACTTACACATTTTTTCTTGTATCAGTAAAGTACAATCACAAATCAAATATGCAAATATATAATTTTACAATAAATACATTTGATACTTCAATTAATGCATAATCATTTCTCTAGCGAATAAATTAAATGTGCGAGAATATTAAATGGAGAGAGAATTGATTTTATGTAATGTTACTCTTGTCCTCAAATTG